TCTCTGTCTCTCTCTAGCGAGCACCCGCTAGAGACAGTTTGGAGGCTTTTTGTTTTAAATTGCCCGAAGGTGTGTGTGCTAGAGACAGAAAAAGGCAGGGGGAGAAAGCCCCCTGCGACGGGCACGGTTGCACCACAATCCCTTCTCACCCACTCCTCTACCCTGCTGGGATCTGGGGCACTCGCACATGCCTGACATGCTTTCCTTTCTTTCTTTCAGTTTGCTTGAGGCACCGGCACATGGCATAGTGGCTATGTCGCTGGACTCCCACATTGGCTGACTACAGTTCGGGTCCCGGACCTGGTAGTTTCAAAATCACACCTGACATGTGTGCGTGCGTGCCCAAGATCCTGGGAGGAAAATGGAGAAGGGACTGCAGCGTGGCCATCCTCCCTGGGGGGCGATCGCTCTTTCGTTCTCACTGTGGATTGTGAGAAAGAAAAGTCTGTCTCTCTCTCTCTGGTGAATGCGCGCGCCCTGACAAAACTTCAGAAAAAACAATTTTTGCTTGTGGGTATGTGCACTCGCCAGAGAGACAGAGGGAAAGTGAGAAAGCATCCTCCCTCCCCCAACAGGGGGCAGGCAATCCACAATTCCTTCTCCTCCATCTCTCTTCCTTTCAGAATTTTGTACACACATGCACACGGACCTGGGGTGTTTCTCAAGCCACCAGGGTCAGTATTCAAACCATGATTGACCATGTGGGATCTGGTTCCCTTAACCACTAGGCTAAGGGGCCAGCCCCAGGTTTCTCTAAAAATAACAGTTGAGGGACCAGCAGTTAGCATAATGGCTAGGTTGCTGAACTCCCATGTAGCCAACCACGGTTCACATCCCAGACCTGGTGGCTTAAAACTCACGCCGGGCGCGTGTGCGTGCGTGCCCAAGATCCCAAGAGGAGAATGGAGGAGAAGGGATTGCGGTGTGGCCATCGACCCTGGGGGGTGATTTCTCGCTTTCTGTCTCTCTGTCTCTCTCTGTCTTTCTGGCAAGCACACGCACCCTATAGCAAAACCCTCTCCAAAAAAAATAAATAAATAACAGTTGACAGAAATGTGTGTAAAAGGGTGGAATGGAAATTAACTACACAAAATACAAAAACAAAAAAGTTAGTTGTAGAACATGTATTTAATTCATTTTTATCAAGGTCAAAGAGCTATAAAACTAAATGACATAGTTGAGGGATCTATTCAGAGTACAACTATAAAGTCAGAAAATGATACAGCCATATGGGACTAGCAGGTGGCATGGTGATTAAGGCGCTGGACACTCCCACATGGCTGACTACGGTTCGAGTCCTGGACCTGGTGGCTTACTTTATCACTTTCTCTCTCTGAACAAATTAAAATAAATGAATAGATAAATAAAATTAAATAAAAATAATTTAAAAAAAAAGAAAAAGAAAATTACATAGCCACAGTGCAGCCATGTGGTTTTCTTTCTCATTTTTGGCGGGGGATTTTTGTCTTCTGGCATGTATGCTCACCAAAGAGAGACAGAGACAGTGAGAGGGAAAATCCCCCCCGGGGGATGGCCACGCTGCAATCCCTTCTCTAGTCTCCTCCTGGGACATAGAGCCCGCATGCACACGTGCCCAGTTTGTAGTCATCAGATCCAGAACTTGAGCGTGCTTGGCCACAAGGGACTCCAGCAAGGTACGCCATCTGCTGGCCCCTGGCAGTGTGGTTTTCTCTGAGTAGGGGGAGAAAAAAGCAGATTGAATCAGAGACAGAACTTTGCTTCCAAGTTACCGGTAATGTAAAGCTGGGAGATCGGTACACTGCAGACAGAAAAGAATTCAAATTCTGGTCATTCCTCTCTCTGGGCCTTTGAGCAGATCATGTATCTCTGAGGCTTCCATTCCTTTCCCATAAGTGGGACAGATAAAATCTACTTTGCAAGGTTTTCTTTTTTTTAATTACTTTTTAAAATTTATTCATTCTTTTTTTTTTTTTTTTAAATCCAACCAGAGAGAGACACAGAGAGAAAGAGCGGGAAAGTGAGGAAGCAAGCCACCAGGTCCGGGACTCAAACTGTGGTCAGCCATGTGGGAGTGTCCAGCGCCTTAACCATCATGCCACCCGCTGGCCCTGCAAGGTTGGTTTTTAAGAATGCAATGAGAAGGGGACCAGCGGTTAGCGTAATGGCTATGTCGCTGGACTCCCACGTAGTCAACCGCGGTTT